GAGAACCCCTCAATGATTCCTGAAGCAAGACCGTCACTTGTAGTTGAGATAGACCCTATCGTCCTAAAGAGACGTCCTAAAGAGTTCAAGTAATGGAGGATGGACCCCATGTTTAGATCCATTGTTCCAGTGGTTAATTACCCTCACCGTTAAAACCCGGGGCCTTATTCGTAGCCTGAATGTCTCTAGCTGCAGCTTCCAGGCATTGCACGGTGTCCAGCCTCTGCTCTCTGTTCCCCTTGCGGGGCTGGGATAAGTTAAACGGAGCCCGTTCCTTCAGTCTCTCGCTGCGAGCCGGCTTTTCCAGACCTGGAATCTTTCCCAGAGCTTTTTTTCTGACCGCTCTCTGGCATTACCAGGCTTGGTTTGGCTGGTTATCGAGATGTGGGCCAGTCGTGGAATTCAGCGCTGGCTCCGAGTCCCAGGCTTTGCGACGCGGGATTTGCTTTGGGGTGCTGGGAAGACCCCTCAGAAATGTCCGTCCATCCCAGGAAACTCAGCACAGAAACTCTGGAATGATGGGTGCAGAGAAACTCCAGTCGCTTCCCTATGTCCATCCGTCGCGGGGGAACATGCAGGGGCTCGGGGCTTAGCAGCTCTTGCTGGGAAGTAGCTGTGGCCTCCCTGGCATGGGCGTCTCAGTGCCGTATCAGTATCAACAAATAGTTTTGAGCCACAAGCTCCTTCCAGGAAATTCTGGGTTGGATTGACTGTGCGAGTGGCAGGACGTGCCGGGCGGAGCGGAGCTTGGCGTGTGGTGGGGGGCTGGGGCGGTGGGAAAGTGAGCCAGCAAAACTGGCCTTACGCTGCCCTTGACCCTGTTTGACTGCAGTGGATAAAGATCACCCTGCGTCTAGCGGAGAAAAGGGCCGGTACAGGAGCGGCGCGAGTCCCAGCTGTTGTCGCAATCAGGACGATGGCTGGGCCACTCTGCCCGGCTCGGCAGGAGCCCGGGTTTGAGCCCCTTCTGGAGCCATTCGATACCCAGATCCTGAGTCCTTTGGCAAATCCGGACCTGAGCCAGGGACCAGAATGCGGTCCCTGAATACGGAGCAAACAAAGACCAAGGTTAATGGGCAGTAATTTGCCTCTGGTAATTACTGGAACAATAGCTTGGCTGGTTCGTCTGGCGTCTGCAGTCTTTTGCTCCACTTCAAAGGTTCCGTACACGCTGCCTAGCGCAACTTTACATAATGACCCCGGGCCCTTCAGCACTCCGAGCACAGGCCCCTGTCATTTGAGCTAAAGGAGCTACTCGGCTGGCAAGTAGCAGTGGTAGGTTGTTACCCTCTGCAGCCCAGCCATTAGAGGAGGCCACTGTTGATAGCAGCCGAGACCTCTCTTCAGACAGGACCGCAGCGTCCATAAGAGCAGACAGCGCTGTCGTCAGCTACTGCAGGGATAGAACTGATGACCTGCTCTCTGAGCACACGGCCCCAGCCCCTCAGGTTGAAGGGCAGTCTCCATCAGGGAGGCACGGTTTCAAAGAGCTGTAGTAATTAACTCATTAGTTAATTCAGTAAATGAGCTCTCAGGAGGATTACCCCTAAATACTCCCCTGGTCTTAATATAGAGCACTGCTTCAGCCTTTCCAAACATTAATCCTCGGCCCAGCAGCTTCATACCCATTCAGCAGATGGGGAAACTGAGTCACGGGGCGGGTAAGGGACACGCCTGAGCTCAGAGAGGGCCTCAGCATCAGAACCAGCAACCAAAATGAGGCGTCCCATTCCTGGGCTCAGACCGTGATCCTCGGCCTCTCTCTTGCTTCTATTGGGGTTTGTCTTGCCATGCCTTCAGCCCCTAGATAAACCCTGCAGCGGATGGCCCATCCATCCATCAGTGCCTGTCCCCGGCGTATCTGAGCACTGAGCCAGCCCCTGCGGGCTCCCCCCGGCTGTCGCCGGCTGGGCACTACTCCAGCAGCTCGCTGGGTACGACAGTAACAGTACACCACGAGTCATTTTTTCAGTGTCTTTCATTGACGCTGCTTCTCACGGCGCTGGCAAGTGGCCGATTTAAGGAGGCGGAGAAGTGACACGTAGGGTGTTGCAGGTGCTGCGCAGACAGACGCTCTTGCACGAGCACAGGGCAGGTCAGGTGGGCTGCCGGGGCGGACTCTGAGGCTCGGTGAGCGGAGGGAAGACGGCTGTGAGGCACAGGGAGGGACCTGGCGGTGCTGACCGTGACCAAAGGTTAATGCCCCCGACGCGTGGCAGCAGCCAGTGGCTACTGTGACAAGCTACCAATGTGGGAGATCAGCTTTCCGGCGCGGCTCCAATCATGCAGCATTTCCTTTCTTCTGTGTGAGGTCGCTGCAGCTGGTGTGTTTCTGGGAGCAGCAGGTGGGAGGGAGAGGAGCAGTGGGAGGGGGGCACGTCATGTTTTGGGGGGGCCGGCTGCAAGGGACTTCCAAGCACCTTCCGGCACTGAGGGATACATGGGGGGACAGCCTCTAGGAACTGGAGCTCCGGGTGGGCAGAGAAGTTGCTTTCTGTGTTTGGTGTTTTTGCCCAAGTTCAATCTTTGAAGAATAAAACTGTGCCCGGGAAGAGACTCAGCCAGCCTGAGTGAGGGGAAACTGAGGCAGCGGTTAGCCCGAAGCCAGGCCAGGTAGGCGACAGCCTGGACGTAACAGGCGAGCGTGGGAATCCATGCTATGCAAAGGGGAGCTGTGGTGCCCGAGTCGTCCCTCTGCAGAGGCTGCTCCCGCTTTCTAACACTGGGGCAGGGGCTAGTGCAAAGCTCATGAGCTCTTCCTCTGACCACGCAGTCTGGCTACCATTGGTGCAAGACCTTTTTTCTCTGCCGCAGCTGCCACCCGGAATAGCCAGCCTGGATTTTCCCTTCATTTCCCCTCCAACAGCTCTTCTCTTCCCCTCCCTTCTGGGCGAGGGACCAGAGCCAGCATGAGCCTCTTTGGATGAGCACGACAACCATTCACTCGCACCAACGTGAGTGACTAGCCGTGTCACGGGAGGCTTGGCACGATGCTTCTTTGTGCGTGCGAGGCTCCGGCTACGAGGAAAGCCAGAGGCCGGCTGCTTGCACTGGGGTCTGTGCAGAGTCGGGGCAGCGTGGATAAGAGACGTTGCAAGGGACGGTTGGGCTCAGCAGACGGTTCTGTGCGTCCTGCATGTGACGGAGGCAAGCAGGTGAAACGCGCCTGCTGAGTGTGCCTGGGGATCGCGCCCGGCCATGGAGTCTCATGCCACATTAGCTAGCAACGGTGGCACAGCGGGTGCGGGGCGCGGGGAGTGGCTGCAGAGCGGGAATGTTCTATAACATACCCCCCCGTGCCCAGCGGTAGCAGATGCCAGGGCCTAGCAAGATGGTTTCTCGCTGGAGGAGAAATCTGTGGCACGCACTCAGAGTTCACGCTTCGCGTTACATGTTTATACAGCGGCCTAGGGCCCAGGTGGTCACAAAGGGCAAGGAGGCAACCGCTGCTTTAGCCGTCCCAGCCCAACTCTACTGCCCAGTTTCCAGGGAGCAATGCTGCCCCAAGAACTGACTCTGGCTGGGGCGATTCAAGCTCCCCTGCCATTTGCAACAGCTCCCCCAACCAGAAACTACATCACAAACCGAACAGCCGCGCAAGCATTTCGCCAACAGTGTAATGCTGCCACCTGGTGACTCCCACTGTAATGGGACTAACCTGCCATGCTGTCGCCTTCTCCATGCTGGAGCCAAGTGCCGGCGTTCCCAGACCTAGCCTGGGACTCCTTCAGGATCCTACCGTCTAGAAACAAGGAAACCTGCCTAATTTCCAAAGTAGTTGTGAAAATCTAATCGCTCTCCTCCTTCAGAAGCAGATCGATTCCTCTCCCTGTCAGACAAGTCACCTACTGTCTGCCCTTCAGCCTGGAACGTGCCAGGAAACCGTCAGATCCCCCACCTCGGCCCCTGATGTGAGGAGAGGACTTGCGTTGGAAACAAAGGGATGCAGGGTTCAGGCAGAGAAAAGGAAATCCTTTACTCTTAAGTCAGTGTAGTTCACTACCGGTGGGAGTGGGGGGTTGGAGGGTGGGGTCATTGAGGCAAAAGCTGAGGCTGGACTCCAGATTCTGTAACTTCTTTGCTGTGTGAGCTGAAATGGTGTTTCAAGGGGAGCCACTCTCATGCTGCAGGGCCGATCACCAGCCGGGGTCAGGAGGAATTTCTCCTTCCCTTGGTATAACACAGCTCAATTGCTCAGGCTCATTGGTGTGTTCCCTGCCGCCTCTGAAGGGTCGGGGGTAGGTCACCACCAGAGCGGATGGAACCACATGGAACGCTCCCCGTTCTTGGCATCAGAGGCCCTGCTGGATTGTTGCACGCCGATCAGTGATGGGCTGGGCGCGTGGGTTAAGCTAATCCAGGAAATGATCATGGGGGTTTTGCAGATGTGTGTGCAAGTCCCGTGCTGGCGTCTCAAAGCTGTGCCGTGATTAGAGAAATGACCTCTGGAGGGGGCTGATTGCCACGGACCACCAGCCACACGCTCTGATTTCTGGGTGTGTAGGCACCTGTGTGAAAAGCAGTAGCCAGCCAGGTACGCTCAGATTAACGCCAGCAGTTAATACAGCGGCTCTCCCTCACATAGACCCTGGGCGGGCCAAGGATCGGGGAAGACGGAGCCAGGGCCCTGGCGTGTTTGGGGCAGTCAGGTCCATGGGCAGATCTCCCTCTTGTGAAGTGGTCGAGCGTTGCGCAGAATGGAAAGGCGCGGTAGCCGTCGCCAGGGGGTTCTAGACTCGGCCATCGCCCCCTTCCCTCTGCAGCGTCTCTGCGCAGTTCAGCCCTTCCCCGGTCCGCGTGCAGGAGTGCAACCATTCGCCCGAGCTGACCACAGCCGCGTCGCTCGGACATGAGGGGGGTCTCCATGGGCAGGCTCCTAGCAGCGGTCCCCCAGCCCAGGTCGCGCTGTATGTAAGATGACCGAGAGCCCGGTCTCTGCTTTGCCGTGCCTAGGGACTTGTGACGTTCTAACGCTGGGTCTTTCTGTGTTTGCTTCGCAGGCAGCTACCCCGTGTGCGCCTCCTGTCAACTCTGAGCTGGTAAGTGAGCCGACCCCTCTTCCCCTGGGCACTCTGGCCGCGGCTTCACGGTGGCTCTTGCCGCTGCAAAAAAGAGCACCGTGAAACAGCATTGGCACCTGGGGAGGGAGAAGAGCACAGGGCTGGGAACCAGGGGAGCCACATTCTTGGCTCTGCCTTGGAGTCAGCGGTACCTCAGTTTCCCTCTCTGTCCAACATGGGCCTGCCGTGGTCCTTTCCTGTGGCAGGGGCAGTGGGATGCTGTGCGGGAAGGAGCAGAAATATTCGGAACCATCTGTAGCGCCCATTAGGGTGTCAGTGACCAACTAGCTGGCAGTGCTAAGCTGGCCCAGAAGGAACTGATCCCCAGTGGGTGACCTGGAGTCTCGAAGGGCATGGATGGAAAAGGGAGAGGAATGATGGTCCAGGGTGTTAGCTTGGGATGTGCGAGACCTGAGCTCGAGTCCCTGCTCTGCACAGGCTCCCTGGGTGGCCTTGGCCAAGTCACTTAGTCTCTCTGTGCCTCAGTTTCCCCTCTGTAAAATGGGGCTAATGGCCCTGCCTCCCAGGGGGGTTGTGAGGGTCAGTGGATTGAAGGCGGCGAGGTGCTCTGATAGTATGGTAAGGGGCGGGGGGGTTAGTAGATAGGGAGGTTGGCATGAGAGGGTTGTCTCTGTGTCGGGGTTGGCCCAGACTCACCCGGGCAGAGTTTAGGTGGTGGGTGAGCGAGGGCTGTTCGCAGCCAGGCTGGTGCTGGGGTGTTTGCGAAAGGACGAGGCAAAGGACATTGAATTCCCTCCCCTCGCCGGGCTTGGCAGCCGGCTGCGTGTTCTCCGGAGTGAGCCCGGCTGGCTCTGAGAGCTGCCCTGGGACACTTCATCCGCCCCTCTCCGTCCTGTCCCCAGAGCCCTGTGCGGCACTGAGGCAAAGCGCTGTCTGAGCTGACAGCTCGGAAATGGGACCCATCTGTGGGCCAGTAGGGGGCACTGTTGCCTCCCGGTCAATATTGAACTGCAGGATTTAGCAGGTGCTGTATAGCTAAGGGAGCCAGCTTCGCGAGGAGGAGTCCCTTCCAGCTCGTGGGTAATGCCGATCGGGAAGTTTCTTGTGGTGCCCGTGGAGCAGGTCTTGGTGCCGGGCATCCTGGGGTAGTTACATACTGCCTGCCGCAATAAGGAAAGCCCCTGCGGTTTCACTTCTCTAAACTGCACCACCGCCCCCTGTCAGCGGCGGGTGAATTCCCTCCTGATGTGACGAATCTGGGCTGTCGCTGTGCTGGGACCCCAGCGAGAGAACGTGGATCCCCCTGCTCAGAAAGAGGCCCCTTGAGCTGCAGGAGAATCACCACTAGCAGTTTAGGGCCTATGGCACGCAGAGGAGCAGTTCCAATTCCCTCCCGTAGAGGGCAGTGGTGCGCACACACACTAGCCGTTTATATGTAGGGGTGGCGTCACAGTAGCAAACGGCTGGTGTATGATGCATTTTGGCCTCAGGATCCTCCGCTGGTGGCCTGTATTCACTTTTGGAGGCCTCGTCTCAGCGCAGCCGACTCTTGAGGAATTGTTGTTTTGCCACAGATCGGCGGTTCAACTCCCCGCGCCTCTTGCTGTTGGGTCAGCATGGGAGAGTTATTCAGAGCTCAGAGGTGGCTCCGTTCTGGTTCAGCCCACTCTGTGGGCCTAATCCATGTGCCATGGGGGGTGATAGCAAAGGGGATGCGGGGGATAGGAGGCAGATGCAGCAGGCGTTCCAGTTCTCAGGGCCTGGCCTCTCCTCTGCCACCTCCCCCCGAGCATTGGCCGTCACAGGTGGGTCGGGAATTGCCGGGAACAGGTGTCTATCTCGGCGCGCTCGTTTTCTGGCCCTGTGCACTCGGAAAGCCCTGCAGGAAATCGGCCTGGGAAACCTGCATTCGGGTCGGGACCCAGTTCTCCTTGCCGAATTCTAGCGGACAGTTAGTCAGGATGTTTGGTCTGGTCCAGGATAGAAACAGGGCCGAGGTGCAATGCTCGGATCCAGATCCAGGTTAGGATCTGGCCCGGTCCAAACCCGTGGGCTCTTGGTCCGGGGATCAGTTCAGCCTGGGATAGAGATACGGGTCAGGGCTAGATCCACAGCGGGACCCCGAGCCCCCATGAAGTCTGGGGAGGGGCTTGGGCCACGATCCATTTATAACACATAGTCTTAACCCATTCCAATGACATTCTGTTCCCATCGCCCCAGGGGCACGCTCGGAGTCCACCACCGCCGAGTAATTCTTGTCCTCGCCGCACCCCAGTGGTCTCCTTTGACATTGGTGGGCCGGGGCGCGGGGGTCTGCCATTTTGAAGGCCGAGCCAGGAGAATCTGTTCCTGATGTGGGCTCACCCAGCTTGCAGTTCCCTTCTTTGTGCGTGACGCTCTGCCGTCCTCAGCAGCCGAAACTCGTATGTGCCACGGGCGGAGAACAGCGGGGACCCACCAACGCAGTGGCAGGGAATTGACTAGGTGAAATAAACCCAGATGATGCCAGTTGATGAACCATGGCCCCGCCAGCCCCGCTCCTGATCTGACCCGGGGGGAAATGCCGACTAGGATGGTGACCCTTTGCCTCGCCCGCCGTGTGCAGGACAGCCTGGAAAGCCCTTTGGCTCTGCACGGTGCCCCGCCCCAGGCGGCAAGAGCAGTGAATTCCTAGCGCGGGTTGGTGGGCAGTCACGGAGCAGGGCATTCGAGAAGCGACGTGGGGCCGGCGCTGCGTCTGCCCTGTGCCCGATTGACAGTCGAATCCCTAGGGAGGGGCTCAGAGCACTGAGCCGTTGTGGCCCCGATCCAGCAGGGCACTCGCGCATGGGCCGCGGTCAAAGGGACTTTAACTCACATGAAGAGCTGGGCGGGAGCAAGGCCTTGGCTTTTTGCCTCCTCTGGGCTCTTCGAACCTGCGGGCCGCCCCTCTGAGCTTGCCCCCTGCCCGCCCAGCCGCAAGCCGGACACGTGGTGCGTCGGAGCCTGGCAGCTTTGAGATAAGGGGGTTGATTGGGCACAGTGCCACCGAAGGGTTATTTTGACATCTCTGCGGTTAATGCAAGGAGCCAGCGGCTCCACCCGCTGTCCCCAGGGCGGGCTTTTCCCTGCCTAGAGAACCAGCCGGGCTTTCCTGGGAGCTGGGTCCTGCCTGGCGTGGGTGTGGGGTGCTGAGCTGGGGAAGGGGGGCCTGATCCGGCACTGACGGAGTTAGTCTGCGCCCAATTTCTTCAGCAGGTCTCCAGCTGCCGGAGGGCGCCAGGGGGCCGAGGGTGGGTCTGGCTCCATTCAGCAGAGGACAGCGGCTCGCCTGGGCCGTAGCTAGGATGTTACCTAACGGTAGCTCTGCCCGACAGCAGCACTGCTCAGTGATTTATACCCCTCTCTCCAGACCAGTGGTCCCCAAACTTTTCAGAGTCGTGCAGACCAGTGGTCCCCAAACTTTTCAGGGTCGTGCCCCCGCTCACCCCTCTCCACCCCCCCCCACTGGGGCCGAGAGCGGGGCTGTAGCTCCGGGGGCGGGGGGATGTGGACAGGAGTAAGAGGGCCACAGCTGAGGGTGGGGCTGGTAGCGAGGGTGCAGGGCCGTGAGCGGGGCTGTAGCTCCGGGGGCGGGGGGACATCGACAGGGGTAAGGGGGCCACAGCTGGGGGCGGGGCTGGTAGCCAGGGCGCAGGGCTGGGAGCGGGGCTGCCGCTCTGGAGGGCGGCGGGGAGCGGACAAGGGTAAGGGGGCAAGGCTGGGGCCACAGCTTGAGGCGGAGCCGGCAGCCAGGGCCCGGGGCATGGAGCCTGAAGCAGGGCCCCGGGTGTGGGGTTGGCAGCTGGGGCCGGGGCCAGGAGCAGAGCTGGGCAGCGCTTCTTCCCTGCCCCCCATGGGGGCTGGCCCGGGCCCCAGCCGTGCCCCCACAAATGGTCCTCCATGCCCCCCAGGGTGGTGCACCCCACAGTTTGGGGACCTCTGCTCTAGACCATAGTGTGAGGCGGGGGCACAGCTGGCGTGGAGGTGGGAAGCTGCTGTTGTCTGTGTGAGGCCAATGCTGGGCACCTTCTGGCAAACAGCAGAACGCGACCATGTGCCATTGCCACTGAGTTTCTGGGCAGGTCCGGTCCTGCCTTGCCAGCAGCCGGCAAAGTGCCCAGAGAGCTGGTGGCGCCAGTCCCAAGCAGCCAGAAGCCCTGGAGCAGCCCCCCCGCGGTTCCCTGCCAAATCACAGGAGTGGCTTAAAAATCTCGAGATTTTTAAAAAATGTAGGCCTGGGGGGATCTCCGCCTTCTGTTTCTGAGCCTTTCAGGGGGCCCTCGTGTCCTGTTTTCAAGTTTTTCTCTACCACCCCGCGTGGGGGGGGGGCAGGAACTTGTTTGTTTGGAAATGCAAGCTGAGAGTCTCCTCCAATCCCGGGACTCCGGGAACTGGGGCTTTAAGGACATCGAATAGCTCGAGAAAATCAGCAGAGTTGGGAGGACCCCTTGACCACGCCAATGAAATCCTTGCAAAACTGTCCGGCGCAGCCTGTGGCTGGGTCCACTCCGCCCTTCAAGGGCAGGGCTGGGTTCCTCAGGAGGGCAGCTCAAGTCAATTAGAGGCAGGCGTAGAGGCCAGTCCGTTCCCCACCTGCCCTCCTCTGGACGGGTAGCCACCACCATGTGCCACTGCCAGGCCGGCCGGAGGGGGACACGCAGTCAAAGGTCCAGAACTGAGCAGGGCCCTGTGCAGAGCCTGGGCTCTGGTTTCCTTCAGAGCCTGGGGCGTTTTCTCCCCCCGGGGAGACCACTCTAGCAGATGTGCCTCGGGCTCGTTTTCTTTTCTCTGATGCTGTTTAGATTGAGGGAGATGATTATTTTCACCTCTTGTTTTCCCTGGAAATCTTAATGTAAGTCAGGAACAATTAAGCTGACAGGCCACAGGGATTTCTTCCCCAGAGCGACAAACAGGAACGATTCCCAGCAGGTCCCCGCTGATAGAAGAGGAACAGGGAATTGCTAAAACAGCTGTCCCAGGTTGTTCCATCTGAGCTG